ATATATTGCCATATTGTCCCAAAACGCTCTGAAACGATCTCGTCGTGCTCTGGGATGCTCCGCCAGTGGCCGCGGCGCACGAAAAACATCTTCCAGCCGGACCCGTCGGCGATCACAGGGCCCGAGCCATCTCCTCGGATGCGCACAGGAGTGGCCTTTTTCTTTGGAGGAACACGTGGTGAAGGCCCACACACGGGTCCCCCCAGACGAGCGCCTGCGCGCGTCCTCAAGTGGTTGGCCCGCATGTGGCGTGCCGACTGCCTCGCCGCACGATACTTTGCCTGCTTTTGCTGTACGCAAATTCGGGTGCGCCCTGGAGCACTTCGCTTTCCTTTATATATATACATATATATATATATATATATAGATAGAAAAACAACACGAGTCCCCCGAGCAGTGGCCTGCGCGCTTGGATTCCCCCCCTCCCTCCTCCGCCGCCAGCCCCCGCAAGCGGCCCCCGAAGTCGTTCCAGGGGTCATTCTTGGAAGCTCCTGCGTGCAGCCGAGGGGTGCCCGTCCCAGCCACGGGCACGAGGATGGGAGCTTAGTGGGCCCTGGAAACGACAGGGCCGTTTTTTTAGCGGTTCCGTTTTGCTGTTTTTTTTGCCGGTTCCGACGCCGTTTTTTCACCGGTTCCGTCGCCGTTTTTTGACCGGTTCCGGCTCCAGTTCCGATCCTGGAGCCGTTTTTTTGATGTTTCCGATCGCCGTTTTTTTGCCGTTTCCATTTTCAATGGGCATTTTTTTGCAAACGGTGAAAAAACGGCCTTGCCGTTTCCGGGGCCCATAAAGAATGGGAGGTGGAAGGAATGAAGAAGTCGGGGCAGAAGAGCATGCTAGTGTCCATGACTGCCACTCCTTCGTTTCCACACCCTGTTCGGCCTCCTGGGTGCGCCCGTGTCGCCCTGGCTGGATTCGCGCTTCGGAATCCTGGTCACAGCGCGCCTTGGGCGGAGGCCAGGCGAGCAGCGGTACATGCAGGGCCGAAGTGCGGGGGCGGGCGGGGCCAGAAGGCGGATGGAAGGGTCGATTGCGAGAGTAGTCGGCCGTTGCATCCTCCTCCTCCTCCTGCTCCTCCAGAAGTGGGAGGCGAAGAACATTGCACCTTCTCGTGCCCGAGAAGGGCTCTGCGAAGGCCCCTGGGGCCGAAATGGGAAACGAGATGTGCCCTCCCCGTTTACAGTGAAGGCCCACGCCAAGAAACACCCTGCTTGCCTTCAGAGTGCCCTGGGTTTCCTGCGTTTCGATGGTTTTGCCGTGGAAGGCGTTCCCGCACCAAACATCAGTGGACGTCCTGGGGTCTCAGGGTCGGGTCTCTTGCGGAAGGTGTCTTGTGGTCGGGCCCTTACTGTATCGCTCCACGATGAAGCGACGCCCACAAAAAAGTGGGGTGTGCGGGATGTCCTCTACATGTTCAGAAAAGGATCCAACAAACGCCTCAAGTCGTTCTACAGCACTTTTGACACATGCTTTAGACCTCTGGAATGGGCAGCATGCCTCACCTCCATTGCTCGTCTTCCACAACCCTACAGTCGGGGCGCTGAAGAAGGAACCCTTTTCGTTGGGGAGGGGCTCCGTGTTCCTTGATTGTTTCACAGCTTGCCCTAGGTTTTCCTCAGGTTTTCGATGGGAAATCGAACCTTCACTGATGGGAACAAGTGGCCTCGTTTCTTATCTAGGGTTCCTTAGGTCAACGTCCCGACTGTTTGAAGCAACGCCACAAAGGGGGGGGGAGGTGCGGGATGGTGGGACGGCCGTCGGCCACGCAGGCCGCAGCGCTGCGCGCGGGGCTGCTGTGGATCCTGGTGCACTCCGGCGGCCTCGCGCGCAGGTACCCCGAGGAGCGCCTCCCCCGAGCGGTGCGGTGCAGTGGCCACACCGCGTGGCGAGGCAGTGGGCATTCGAGGTCGCCGCGCGTGCAGTGGGGCCTGGGTCCTTGCCCGACGGCGTCCTGGCGCCCAGCAGTGTTGTGCCCGTCTCGGGCACGCCGGTGCCTCCATCCTCCGTTTCATCCTTCGCTCCTCGTTTCGCTCCCTGCTGCCGTCCTTCCGGCTCCCAGTCACAGGCCCTGCCGGTTTCTGTGGTGCGAGGTCCAGTGTCTGGTGTTGTTTTGCGACACCCGCTACCGTGCCTGGGTCTTGGACCAAGCTACCCCTGGCCCCGAGGACAACGTTTCACGCGACGGGCGTGCGAGGGTCGGGTTTCCTGTTGGAAGGTCTCTTGTGGTCGGGCCCCTGCTGTAGCATCTACTTGGTGCACGCTACAGTCAAAAACCCTAACAAGGACGCGCGACTTTGCTCAGGGTACCCTTGCGTCCTTGCTCTTCCTTGCTCTTGCGTCCTTGAGGTTTTCGTCGCCCGCCGCCCCAAAAATCCCAACTTCGGCTTTCAAGGGTCTTGCGTCCTTACCGCGCGTCCTTATTAGGGTTTTTGATTGTAGCTGGTGCAAGTGGTGCGCTGTAAGCTGTGCGGTGAGCGCTGCGTGGCGAACGCCACACCGCGACGCCGCGGCGCGCCCTCCCAGTGCACGAGGCGCCCGCGGGCGGGGGCACCGCACGAGGCCTCGCCAGAGGTCCTCCCCGGGCCCTCGGAGGCGCCCAAAAGGGCGGCCCCGAGTGGGCGCGGGGTGGAACCTCGCCTCGGCCAGCCCAGTCCTGATAGGAGCACAGGAAAAAAGCGAGTGCAAGCACAGGTTGGGGACAATTTTCGCGACTGCGGAGACATCGAGGGGAACTTCGAAGAAGAACGAACGGCGTAAACATCACCTTTTTTGCGCTCGGACCTGATCTCTTGGAGCCGCGCTGGGCCCCCCCCCTGGCGGCGTCTCCGGCGCCGCCCCATGGCGCGCTCCGCACGTCAGGGGGGGAGGTCCAAGAAATCAACGCGGAGCCCCAGCAGTTAAAAGTTTATGCGGTCTTTTCTTCCTCCTTAGAATTAAGTCGGGCCTGTCCCCCTACACGGGGATTTTCGACGAACCATAAAAAATACTTCAAAAATCGTCCAACAATAGTCCAATTGATTGTTTGACCTTTTTGGGGTACTTTTAATTTTTTGATTATTTTTTGGCCTTTCCAAGGAACTATTTTTTGATTATTTTGTTGACCTTTTTGGGGTACTTAAATTTTCGTCGGAAATTCCCCTGTAGGGGGACAGGCCCGACCTAACCTTAGAACTCAGGGCATTCCATGTTGTGCCTCGTGGCAGGGTAGCACATTCGATCAGACCGAACTGTAATCAAACATCTGTCAGTACGCAGATGTGCACTGGTGACCTCCCATCACCCATACCCAGCTCGGCATTGGAGGATCTTTCTGGCCCATCCCCCGTCAGCACATCCGCCCACGCCGCGATGATTTATAAAGGCGTCAGTGTTGGAGTCGTCCGTCTGTGTGTCAAGCCAGCCCTCAGCATTGCAGCTCCGCGGGCCACGCTGACACGGCGCAAGCCCTGGTGATAGAGTTCAAGGTTGAACGCCTCTGGCGGCCAGGAATGGGTCGACATGGAACGACCTGCGCCATCGGCGGGCAGCGAGCGTTCGAGGTTGAGGTTTTCTGACGCGCGGGGGATCCAGGACAAAATCCCAGGAAGTTTGACAAAGATAGTGGAAGCCCATGCCAAGGAACGCCCTGCTTGCGTCCAGGGTGCCCTGGGTTTCTTGGGTTTCGAGGGTCTTGCTGTGGAAGGCGTGACGCTCCCACCCCAAAAATCGATGGACGTCCTGGGGTCTCAGGGTCGGGTTTCCTGTGGAAGGTTTCTTGCCGTCGGGCCCCTAGTGTACACGAGTCGGCCAGCCGGAGCGAGAGCTGGACACGCACGTGGCCACAAGTGCCTGTCTGTCCTGCGAGCGGCCCTGGCGTGGGCGTGCCCGGCGGGGCGGCCACGTGTGTCTGTCCTGCGAGCGGCCCTGGTGTGTGCGTGCCTGGCGGGGCTTCTGCACGTGCACCCAGCGCGTGGCCTCCGGATGTTCCACTCCTGATTCCAGGCAGGAAGGGGCGCCGGCTAGGCCTGCGGTCTGCGCCCCATGGGGGGATCGCGCCCCGCGGCGGCTCGCGCCTGCTGGAGGCAACTTCCCACCTGAGTTTCAGTCGGGCCTGTCCCTCCACAGCAGGAGTATTCGAAAACGATAAACACGGTGGGGGATGATGTTTTGATTATGTTTGAATTCTTTTGGAGTTTTTGTAGGGTAGCTATCTTTATGGTTCGTCCAAAATCCGCCTGTCTGGGGACGCCCGACCTAAACCTAGGTGCCGCCTGTAGTTTGTTCGTTTTCTTCGGTCGCAAAGCGCGGGATCCTGGCATACCCTCTCCAGTCCGTCGTTAGCGTTGAGTCGGGCATGTCCCTCTACAGGAGGAATATTGAAAAATAGTCAAACCATAGTTTTGGGACGATGTTTCTTTTATGTTCAAACTATGTTTGCAGATGTTTTGATGGCTTTTTGAATAGTTCATCAAAAATCCGCCCGTAGGAGGACATGCCCGACCTAACTTTAGCATCGATTAGCGTCGATTAGCGTTCGGGAGTCGATGAGGTAGCGCCGATTTAGCGTTGTCTAGCGCCGATCAGCGTCGATTTAGCGTCGATCAGCGTTGATTTAAAACGAGCGTCGATTCGCAGGAGCCGACAAGATGGTATGGAAGGCTCCCATGAGCTGCCACCGAAGTTTCCTGCCGCTCCCACACCTGAGGCGCCTGTGAGCCAGAATCCTTCCCATTCCCCTTGCCTCCGCTGCAGACCCAGACCCCCGACGTTGTGATTTTCGTCGACCCCCAGAGGTCTGGACCCCTTCCCCGGGACCGGTTCTTCATCCTGAATCGTTTTTTGACAGTCCCGCGGCCCGGTAAGGGCCCGCAGAGGCCCAAAATCGTCTCCCGTCGTGATTTTTTCGCAAAAAAAAAGGGGTTCCGGGGACGCCCTCCTCTCCCCGCCCGTGCCCCAGGAGAGCGGCGACCAGACGGGCTCCCTGATCTTCGAGCTGGTGCGGGAGGTCACGTCCAGCTCCAAGGAGGGCGCCACGACGCCTCCGCGACCGCCAGAGGAGGAGGAGAAGGAGGAGGAGGAGGGAGGAGGAGGAGGAGGAGGAGGAGGAGAAGGAGGAACAGAAAGGGGAACGGCAGCAGCCAGCAGAATGATTAGGAGGAAGGTGAGGAAGAGCTGGAGGCGCAGACGAGGAGAGGAGGAAGGGGGAGGGAGGCGGTGGATGTGGTGGAGGAAGAGGAGGAGGAGGAGGAGGAGGAGGAGGAGGAGGAGGAGGAGGAGGAGGAGGAGGAGGAGGAGGAGGACGAGGACGAGGACGAGGAGGAGGATGAGGAGGCGAACAATGAGGGATGAATAGGAGGAGGAAGGTGAGGAAGGGAGGAAGGGGAGATTGAGGATAGTTGTCCCCCGCAAGGGATCACGCCGCTTTGGATGTGCCATAGCCCCCGCAGCCGCGGGCAAGGATGCGTGGGGAAGGGGGGTCGTCGGCAGTCTGCGAGGGCCGAAGGCAACCCTGAAGAAGCACGCCGCAGGCGCCGAGTGCGTCACGCACCACAGAAGGAGCCCGCCGCAGTCGCCGATTTTCCAGTTGGGGCCCATGCCAAGAAAGACCCTGCTCGCCTCCAGGGTGCCCTGTGTTTCTCGGGTTTCGAGGGTCTTGCTGTGGAGAGCGTGACGTCCCCACGCCCAACATCGATGGACGGACTGGGGTCTCAGGGTCGGGTTCCCTTGTGGAAGGTTTCTTGCGGACCTGCCTCCATTGTATGGGTCAGTGCAGCGTGGGTGGGTCGCGGCTGGGTCTCGTGCGGGTCGCAGGCGTGTCGCGGCGGGGCCGCGGCGCGGGTGGTCTCGGCGGCTGTGTCTCGGCGGCTGGGTCACTTCGGCGGGTCGTGGGTGCGTCGCCCGTGGGCCGCGAGCGGACCCCTGGCCGCGCGCAGCGCAACAGCAGCGATGGTCTGAAGAGTACTCGCTCTCTGCTCGCGTGTCAAGCGGCCCGTCTGCCCCAGCACGCGGTCTCCGCACTCTTCGCCCTCGATCGTGCCCCTTCTGCTGGGGGACCAGCTTCCTTGCCCGCCGCGTGCATGTCGGCGCGGCCCCAAACATGGGAGGAGGAGGAGGAGGAGGAGGAGGAGGAGGAGGAGGAGGAGGAGGAGGAGGAGGACAAGGACGAGGGAGAGCGCTAAGTAGGAAAGAGCAGAGCGTGAGCACGGAGGGGGGGGGCAGGAGGAAGGCAGGAGGACCCAGGGGCAGGCGAGAGGGACACAATCTTCAGTCGGGCCTGTCCCTCTACAAGGGGGATATTCAAAAATAGTCAAAAAATAGTCTGGGGACTATTGTTTGAGTACTTTTTGTTGACCATTTTGGAGTATTTTCCGTACTTCTTACTTTTTGTCGAGAATCTTTCTGCAGGGGGACACGCTCGATTTGAACATACATTGCCGCTTTTAATACATGCTCCGCGTGCGGATCATGTATGAAACATGCAGGGGTGTAGTTGAAAAGCAACGATGAGTGCATGCACGACTTTATTCATAAATTTGTCATGTATTAGAGATCCTATATTTTTATAAAAGATAAGATACATGTATTAAAACCTGCCTTGTAGTCACCTTGGCAAAGCGGACCGTGGCGGGCGGGGCCGGGCGCCGCGGCCCCGGCCGGCGCGGCGGGCGTGCCGGCCCCGCCGGGCATGTGTCGGGCGGGGGGCACCTGCAGAGGGCGGGGGGGCGGGCGGACGTCCACACTCCGGAGGGGGAAACGCACACACACACACACACGCACACACACACACACACACGCACGCACGCACGCACGCACGCACGCACGCACGCACGCACGCACGCACGCACGCACGCACGCACGCACGCACGCACGCACGCACGCACGCACGCACGCACGCACGCACGCACGCACGCACGCACGCACGCACGCACGCACGCACGCACGCACGCACGCACGCACGCACGCACGCACGCACGCACGCACGCACGCACGCACGCACGCACGCACACACACACGCACACACACACACACACACACACACACACGCACGCACGCACACACACACACACACACACAGGGGGGGCCACTTGCGAACCCTGCCCCTCCCCCCCACGATTTCTGAGGGGGGGTAGGGGTAGGGTTCGCATGAGGTCCCCTACACACTCAGGAGGGGGAAGAACACACAGGCAGAATTAATCGTGGACTCCCAGGGACAGTTGGGAAACAGGGGAGGTGGGGGGGGAGGACAACAAAGCCCAGAAAACATGGGAGAATCTATGGGGTATCTGTCTGTGTGTGTATTTACGTGTGCGTCCCAGGGCCCCTTCAAGAGGGCGGGAGGGCGGGCGGACGTCCACGCGCGGGTCGGGCAGGGCACGGAGGCGGGCGGGCGGGCCTCGAGGCAGGCGAACGGGCGGGCCCTGCTGGGGTTCCGTCGGGCGCGTCCCTCTACAGGAGAGATGTTCGAGAATCGTCCAAACTTCCACTCAGCCGTCGTGCCCAGGCCCCTCGCGCTGCGAGGCAGAAGAAGCAGCACGGCGAGCGGTTTCTGTCGGCATGCCGGCGCCCTTGGGCCTCGGCCGGGCCCCGGGGCCGTCACGGGACGACGCGGGACGCAGGGGGCACTGGTCGGGGGAAGGGGTGCAGACTTGCGGGGTTCGCGAACGCTCGAGATCTGAGGAGTGTGGGGATCACTTTTCGTTATTTGTGAAATCCTTTTGGAACGTTTTTGATGGAGTATCTCGATATGTTCGCCCCAAGTGCCCTTGAAGGGGGACAGGCCCGACCTAATGTTAGGCCTCCTGCAAGGGGTCGGAGTAGATGGGGTCGGAGGATCGCGCCGCATCGCCGATGCATCGGCGATGCATCGGCGATGCATCTCGATGCGGGGCCCAATTTTCTCCGCGCCGACGTCGCGGATGTATCGCCGACGTCGCCAGTGCATGGCCGATGCATCGCCAATGCATCGGCGATGCATCGCCGATGTATCGGCGATGCGGCGAGATCCTCCGACCCCATTTACTCGGACCCCATCGAGGAGGTCTCTAACCCTGACGGGTGGGTCAGGCGGGCGTGCGCGAGGCGCCGATTCTGGGGGCTAATGAAGCGGGCTTTGGCACAGGAGTGTGCATGTCAGTACCAGAAGGAACAAAAAAAGTAATTACCAGGTTTCTTCTGATTTTCCTCCGCCTCTCCCTCCGTCCCTTCCCACCCTCACCCCCCGTGCGCGTGAAAGCGCTCGCGTGGGGAGGTGGAGGAGGAGGGCGCGCGCGGGGAGGAGGAGAACCGTGTTCATTCACCGCAGGCTTCGCTCTAGAACGGCTCCACAGGGCGGGCGGCGCTGAAGCCGACGGGGCATGAAAAAGAAGCCAGCCCCCAGGCTGTCTAGCAGAAAGACTGTGTGGCAGCACACCCAGGACGCAAGGCGGCCACTGCAGGGATTGGAACCAGCACACGCCACAACTGAAAGCAAAGAGACGGGCAGACAACAGCACGAGCGGGAAAGCATGGGAGGCTCGAAGGCCCGCCGGGCGTGCGCCGACCCAGCCAGGAGGCGCCAAGGAGAGGAACACAAACGACGAGCTCGAGACTGTGGCTGCCAGAGCTACAGTGGGGGCCCTGAAGAAGGAACCCTTTTCGTTGGGGAGGGGCTCGGTGTTCCTTGATTGTTTAACACGTTGTCTGAGGTTATCCTCCTGCTTTCCACGGGAAGTAGAAGTTTAACGTATGGGAAAAAGGGGCCTCGTTCCTTATTTGGGGTTCCTTAGGTCAACGCGCCGACTGTACAGCAAGCAACACACCCTGCAGTGCACATATGGACAGCCACCGCCAGCCAAATGCCATGGAGGCGAGTACCCGGGCGCAGCCGCACCGCGAGGAAAGGCAACGGGCTACCACAGGTGTGTACAGCGGCGGCCTGAGCGGCGTGTGGCCATGAAGATTACGTCGGGCGTGCCCCCCTACAGGAGGAATATTGAAATATAGGCAAACATAATTATGGTGTCGATGTTTTGACTATGTATGACTTTTTTTGAGTCGTGTTTGACTATGTTTTATTCAATCGCTTCGCTCATTCCGCCGGCCCATGTTGCATGATCGCTACTGCTTCGCCGTGGGCCCGGGGCCATTGTGGCGCCGCCGAGGAGGAAGAAGATGAGGATGGGGAAGGGGAGGGGAGGAGGAGGAGAGGATGAGAAGGAGATGAGGAGGATGAAGATAAGTAGGAGGAGGAGGAGGAAGAGGAAGGGGCGGAGGAGGAAGCCTCTCGTTGGCATCTTGTGTTGCTCTTGGGGCCAAACAGGGTCGTCGTCAAGATGCTTCTCTGGGAGGCCTCTTGGGGTCTTTTCAGAAGCCGTTCGAGGGCGCCTGGGAGGCATTTTTGAAGTCTTCTGGGGGGCCTCCTGGGGGCCTCCTGGGACCTCTTGGGGGCCTCTTGGCGGCATCTTGGGGCCTCTTTGGGGCCTCTCGGGGCCTCCTGGGGCCCTCTTGGGGCGGAAGGCTCGAGGTTTTGGTTCGTGGTCCCCCTCTTGGGCCCCTCTTGGGGCCGTCTTGGGGCCGTCTTGGGCCGTCTTGGGCGCCTCTTGGGTCGTCTCGGGGCCCTCTTGGGCCCTCTTGGGGCCCTCGTGGAAGCCTCTTGGCCCGTCTTGGGGTGCTCTTGGGGGCCTCCTGGGCCGTCTTGGAGCATCGGATGGCCGAAAAGGGGACAAGGCCCAAATTCTTTCAAAACCATCGTAAAATGTTTGATTTGGGCCTCTCAGGGCCCTCTTGTGAGGCCTCTTGGAGGCCACTTGGAGGCCTCTTGGGCCGTCTTGAGGTCATCATCGGCGTCTTGGAGCGCTCTTTAGGCGTCTCGGGGGCCCTTTGGGCAGTCTTGGGGGCCTCTTGGGGCACTCTTGGCGCGCTCTGGGGGGCCTGAGAAGCCACACCCAGGAGGAAAACCATCTCTGAGTAGCAGTGGTCGGGCGGCGGTCGGGGTACTTTTCGCCGGGGGAACCCCAGGGGCCGCCCCGCGCGCGCGAACTAGAA